AAAGCGAGAGCACACAAGGGAGGGGTGAGGATAGGTAAGACACCTAAAAAACTAGCTAGCATTTGTTGCCCTTAACGCAGAGAAACTAAAGCAGATACCTTAAAGCAACTGAGGCCAATAGGAAAAGGGGACCAGGAACTAGAGAAAAGGTTAGATCAAAAAGAATTAACCTAGAAGGTAACACCACGCACAGGAAATCAATGTGAGTCAATGCCCTGTATAGCTATCCTTATCTCAACCAGCAAAACCCCTTGTTCCTTCCTATTATTGCTTATACTCTCTCTACAACAAAATTAGAGATAAGGGCAAAATAGTTTCTGCTGGGTATTGAGGGGGGGAGGGGAGGGGGGAGTGTGGTAAGGGAGGGGTGGGGGCAGGGGGAGAAATGACCAAGCCTTGTATGCACATATGAATAATAAAAGAAAAAAAAAAAAAATAAATAAAAAAATGTCAATAAAAAAATAATAAATAAATATATAATAAAAGGAAATGAGAAATTTGTTTGAAGTAAAAATCCAACATTTCAAATATGTAAATATTAGAGAGGCTTTCTTTCCCATAACAGATTATAGATTAATGTGATTCTTTTCAAAACTCCCTTGATTTATTAAAAATGTGAAAGTAATTTTATCAGAGAGAACAAATAGATAACATATCTGTTGGTTATTAATACTCTATGAAACCCCAATAATTAAATGGCATGGTACTGGTTCAAAGATAAAAAAAAACAAAACAAAACTGGATGGAGCAAAATACATCTAACAGAAAAGACCCTGTCTCATGCTACCTCCACAGGTAGAGAACTTTGTTTCTTTCACTTCAAACTTCTGCTTCCAGAAAGTAGAAAGGTCTGTTCTCACTCTAACAACCAAACAACCCAGATAAGCTAAAAAAGGGTTCTAAAAACTAATTCCATCAGATTGCAAGGATACAAAGAAACTTAAATGAACTAATTTCCAGAAAACGATAAACCACGACAAAGGCAATCACTATCACTGGGTGACTATTCTCGGGTCTTTCAAGTAGTATTTCATTTAATTATAACAATGAAGCTTACCACTATATTTTACTACTATCTCTGTGTGTTTTTATTCTTGTTTTACAAATAGAGTGAGATGGAGAGGTCATCTACCCTAAGTTATGAGTGGAGGAGCCAGGGTTTATGCTCAGGCCATGTAGCTTCATAGCTTTAATCTTGGCCATGATGCTATTCTGCTGTCCAGTAAATTGACATTTTATTCACTGGTATGACCTGATGACATCATTTAGTGAGTGAATGAACTCAAATTATCTGGCAGTTTCAACTTTCTCTCAAAGAAATAAATTCAATATTGTAAGAGCATTGAAAAAATTAGGAAACTAGTTTTTTTATGGGTGAAGATTTTTATGAATGCAGGTACTAGGGTTCTCTGCTTCAAAATTCTGATGCATAAAATGTTGCATGTGTTAGGTTCTATTTTCAGCTCAAGTAATGTCTAAGTATTAATTAACATCCCAATTTAAATTCTGTCACAAATATGTGTAATTCTCCCATTCTTCATTGTATCCATAGGTATAAATTATGCTTTCTGTCATTTGCAAATGTATTTGGCATACTTCCAAGGACCAACTCCTAGTGAAATGATTAGGTATTTCAGGGAAATTTTAGATATATAGGAGTTCTAGAAATTGTTTTCTGAATTTGCCTTACCATTTAAAATGTAGACTATATAGTGTCCCATCCACCATCCAAACACCAGCAAGACTTTTGCTGTTTGAATAAAGATTATTATTGAATATTTTGTCACTTCAATTACAAATTCCTTTACAGAATTAATAATGGGCTTGTAAACAATTATAAAGGATTAGAACTCTTTCATATTTGACATTTTCTCCAAATTTTGTTTGCAGGAATACTTTCTCCTAGCGGTCTGCAAACAGAAGGAAGAAGAATGTTGACAGAAGGATCTCTAGTGGAGCACAGGCCAGTGCTTCCAGAGGATTCCCTGCCTGCCAGCATCTCAGAAAACACAGCCATTGGAGGGTGATATGAAATGCTGTTTCAGGCAGCTCTGAAAAGAAAAATCAAAACAAGACATGTTGAGCCACTCAGTGACAAATGATTTTTACACCCCAAATCCCTTTTCCTGAAACCATCACCTCCTGGATAATATCCAATTTCAATTAAACAGTATTCTAACACTTAAAAAAAAATATTTTCATAAAAAAGTCAACTTTAACCCAGAAATCTGCCCTTCTCATTTTCAAATCATTTTCCTTAGTCATGTGTTTTTGTTTTTTGCAATTTCAATTACTGAAAATGACTTCTTTTTATTTCTAATTGCCAGAAATCTTACTTGTTGTAATTTCTTTTTTTTTTAAATCATATTACTGTTGTACTGGGCGTACATTGTGACATTTACAAAGTTCTTAAAACATATCATAGTTGAATTCACCCCTCCATCATTCTCCTTTATTCCTCCCTCCCCCCATTCCTGGAACAGTTCCAACAGGATTTCATTTTTCCATCTTCATACAGGAACACATAACATTTTCACTACATTCACCCTCCTACACCCTTTCCTTATATTCTTCCCCCTTCCACTGGTACAACCTAGTGGAGGTAACAACTGGTTTAACAACCAGTTAAAACTGGTACAACCCGTTTTACCTTCTAGTCCTCCATTTTTGAAATAAGGCATTTTGTTTAAGATAGCGACACAGGGAGTTTCCTTGTGACATTTCCATGTATATATTATTATAACCCAAACTGGTTCATCTCCTCTACTTTTCTCCTTTTCACCTTAGTCCCATTCTTACAGTCATTTCAACAGTTTAAATATTCTGTATTCATTCATGTATAGAAAATACATCAACCGTGCTCAACCTTAAATTTATTTCACCTTACCTCTCCCATTAGTGACCTCTCCTTACTGTGATCCATTTTTCATAATATTGCTTTTATTTGTGTCATGTATCCTACATGAGAGAAAACATGTGGTCTTTGTCTTTCTGAGCATGGTATACTTAAGATATCCTCCCACTGGATCCTCCTATCCATTTACCATCAAACCACGATTTCATTCTTCCCTATGGACCAATAAAACTCCATTGTGTAAATATACCATATTTTCTTAATCCATTCATCACTTGCAGGGCATCTGGGTTGTTTCCATAGCTTGGCTATTGTGAACAGAACTGCAATAAACATAGATGAGTAGGTGCCTTTATTGTACCTAACTTATATTCCTTCAGATACATTCCTAGAAGTGGTACTGCTGGATCATATGGCAGTTCTATTTTTAATTTGGTTTTTTTTGGTGGTATTGCAACTTGAACTCAGGGCCTACACTCTGAGCCACTCACCAGCCCTCCCCCCCATTTTTGTGATGGGTGTTTTCAAGATAGGGTCTTGCGAACTATTTGCCCAGGCTGGCTTCGAACCACAGTCCTCCTGATCTCTACCTCCTGAGTTGCTAGGATTACTGGCGTGAGCCACCGGCACCTGGTTATTTTTACTTTTGTAAGGAGCCTCCATTGTTTTCCATAGTGGTTGCACTAGCTTACATTCCCACCAGCAGTGTATGAGGGTTCATTGTTTCTCACATCCTCAACATTATTGTGTTCTTGATGTCGTTGCAACAGGAGTGAGGTGGAATCTTATCAAGGTTTTGATTTGCATATCCTTTATGGCCAGGGATGTTGAGCATTTCTTCATGTGCTTTTGGGCCATTGAAAATGACTTTTAAGTCTTCCTTCAGCTCTGGTATAACTGGCATAGAATAGTAAAAAAATTTCTTGGGCCAATGAGTCACCAATTGCATGACAGAAATATTGGTTTGGAGGTTACATCATTACCTCAAAGCCTGAAATCAATCTATCGTTTTGCCCTTAAAAATCACTCCCTTTTCTGACATTTCTGTTATGAGAATGAGAATTTATTATTACTATTAATAATATATATTATTATAATAATTATTGAGGGTGGACATTATTAACATTTATTGGCTATCTTTATCAGGTGCTGTCCACTAAACTTACCTACCTCTCACAACATCCTGTGAAACAGGTGATGCAATGAGAAACTGAGGCCCAAAGCACTGAGCAAAGTGAAGGAATGGAGATCTGAATGCAGGTGATTCGATTCAAAGGAGCACCTCCCTCCCCACCCCACCTCAGCCCTGTCACTCCACTGAGATCTGGTGTTTTTACCTGTGAAATTGATGCCCAAATGATGACAAATGCCTCCAGAGAAAATAGGGTTGAGCTGATAGGTAATAGATAATAAGCAAAAAAGGCATGAAACAGTAGAACCAAAAAGGATGGATTCATAAGCAAAAATACAAAGAATTAAAGAGACTTTGGAAACTACAACCAAGATTCACCTTATTTGTTTGAAGCAAGGTCTGACATAATACAAATGTTAACTTTGCTTGATTTTGCTTAGAATCTTGAGTTTTCAGGACATTTCTCAGGTATTCTATGTCAGGAGACTTAAAGCAAAGAAGCAACAAAGTGAATTAATGTATGTTCACAAAGTTGATTTCTGGAAGGTATAAACAGGTAAATTCCAAATCAGGAGCAAGAGAGTATTTTATAATAATTAATATTTCTTTTCTGCTCAAATCCATCTGTATTTTGCTTTCTCTAAACACACTGGATTAAAACAACAATCCTCTTATAACTCCAATTTCAATTCCTGAATGTCTTCACTATCTATTCTGAGCACAACATAAAGCAGAGGCAATTAATTTTGCTTAAACACTTTATTTCCACTCAGAATTTAGCAATTACTCAATTTCACATTATTCTGTCACAAATGATAATCAAATGGCCTAAGTAGCTAAAAATCATAGAACTATTATAAAACAAGTCAATGGAATATATAAAGTTAATATAAAACAATAACTATACAGATGCACATGTGCATTGGGCCCTATAGAAATATGCAGAAATAACAAGTTTTATTAAAGAAGGTCCCTGGACAAACATGGAGGAGGAGTCATATGATCAAAAATTATTAAGACTGCAGGAAAAAAGGAACTGTCCCATAGTTTTGCTAAATAAGGAGGAAGGGAGAGCACATCATTAATTGATGACCTCTGAGGAAAAGAAAATTACCATTCCATCACAGACTGGCTCAATACCTCAAAAGCAGTGTATGAGGCTCTCCAGGTATTCTACTGCTCTCCACTAGCTTTTTTACATGGAACATAAAGTCACATTTATGATAACAACAGTATATTATATTGCTATTTAATTTGACAATTAGCAAACACCAGGAAACAAACAAGCAAACAAAAAACTGGTAGAGCAACACTGACTTTAGGCAATCTTAATACCCCTAAAAATAGGGGTTAAAATGAGTCAATAAGAAATAGCATAAAAATCACTGTATTATCTAATGTGATTTATAAAACAAGCAGAATCCAGTAATCTTCAATGGGAAAGGCCATGGTATTAGAAAATTAGGAATGTTTTGATGCTGATTTTTATGGAAGTGGTATTCCAAGCCATTAGCTGGAACAAATTCCAAACTCACACATACTTGTATCACCTCAGTTTAATAATCCAATAAATGACAAAAAATACAAACAATGAAAACAGCATCATATAGCACAGTAACTTTGTTTGGCTCCCTCTGGACAAAATCTTCAGTCTTCCCATAGTTTTACCTAGAAATCCAGTTGTAGAATCAAATTGTGAATCCTATGAGAGAAGAAAAATAGTTAAATGAAAAATAATTAAATTCTAATATTGTACATTTGAAAATTCAAGTAACTGAATATATTGCTATTAGTATATATTTTAATGACAATTGTTATATTTAATCAATTTAGAAGACGGTTTATAAGCTTGAGTGATCAGTCTGATTATTCCATGGAAAATAAAGCAGTTCTGTCTATGACTAGCAAGCTCTTTCATTATCCAATAAACATTTCTTTCAGTCCCACAGTACTAATTCAAAAACTCAAATGTTTTTCTTATTCCAATTATGTGGATAAAAAAGATAAAAAATAAAGGTAAGCAGTTTATGTGTTCTCATAAAGGTTTTTGCCCACTTTTTGTTATGGTATTGCATTCCAACCAAAGAATTGATTGCTACCCAGGATAGGATAATTCAAAATTCAATACAGTTACCATACTAAAAGTTGGAGTACCTTCACTTTTAAGATCTTGTTATTTAGATAGCTGACTTTGAAGGGTAAAAGTCTACTAAAAGTGACGAGAATATCCTGTAGAAGTGTTAAGGACTATAAATATGGATGAGGATAAAGTACCATATTAAAACATGGCAGCTAGAAAAGTCCTTAAGATGGTAAGACTAGGCATTGATTAGAAATGTCACACATCCAGGCAGGCATGGTAGTGCAACCCATAATACTAGCCTTAGGGAGGCAAAAGCAAGAGCATTGCAAGTTTGAGGTTAGCCTGGGATATATAGTGGGTTCCAGGCCAACATGAGATATGAGACCCTGCCTTTTTGAGGCAAAAAAAACAATCACACACATTAACAGAAATCTCAGTATCATGAGATGAAAGGGCCTGGCACAAAAAGACTTTGCATAGACATGTACTTTAGAACTATGGTTTCCACAGGGATTCTGCATCAGAATCATCTGGGATGCTTGTACCAAAAGATACATGCCTAGATCCCTCCCCTTGGAGTTCTGAGTTTATTTAGAGCAAGAAACAGGCATGTCCATTTTTGAAGAGCTCTCTAGATGACGAGTACAAAGCTTAGTAAGAACACTGCTTTCAATGTCATGTTCGTTTTTGAATTTAAAAGCATGTGGAGGAACAGGGGAAGGTCCAGAGAAGTTTGCATCAAAAGTAAAGCGTATAGAAGAGAAGGAGGCTCTGAGAAGATGTGATGTTGCTGAGCTTGTTTAGACTGGAGATAAAGAGCTTTGAGCTATTCAGACCTGTGAGGGATGTGTTTAATAGTGATCCTTAGGAAATGACACAAAAGAAGTAAGTTTCCATTATGGGAAAGGCATCTGGTTAGTTAGAAATAAAATATTTTTAGATTGCTTAGTTAATAAATTACTAGTAGTCTTTAACCACTGAGATTTCTAAAACCACTCAAAATAGTGATTTGTCTTGAGTCTCTGACAAGTGTTTCTACACACACAATTAAAGACACATTGGCTTCCACCTCCCATTACTATTTACATGTTAGGCAAGATGAAAAATGCAAAAATAAATCTTACAGCTATTACATAGTTACTAGATACAAATGGAGAAGAATCCAGGACTTATAATCTCTGTATCTGTTTCAAATGGATAAATTAAAATGTGGTTATTCCTGATTGACAGACTAAATTTGAGAGTACTTGATCAAATTTCTTAAAGTTAAAATCATAATCACTTACCATTTCAGCTAATAATTTATTTTGATTTTTAACTTCATGGCCTATTTCAATAGAGAGCTATAAAGAAAAAAGCATATATATTACTACTCATATAAAGGGATTCAAGTGTTATCAAGTAAAAATAATAATGCCTTTCTAAGAATATACATTTTCTTAAGTGAAATGTTATTCTAGAAATATAAAATATAACCTCTCCTTCTAATACTTTGTCCACTGAAATCAATGAAAAATAAATTTAAAAATTTCTACTCCTTCCAACAATGGATATTTTTTCTCTCTTCTCTTTACTCTGATTTCATTATAAAATTCAATTCCTTCTCTTAATTTTGGCAAATTATTCTCTGGTTCTCTTATTCTTGCATGTTTTACTCATATAGAAGTATTTGTATATTTACTTTTTACATTTTAAAAGATTCACAAGGACCCACATGACCAATTCAAATACATTTGTATTTAATATTTTCCTAATAAAGTATGGCATTACTTTCAATATATGTTTGGATTGATAATTTAATTAGATTTTTAAGACTTTTTCTTTAAAATATAATACTAAATTGGAAAAAAATTTACAAATTAGTGCTATCTATGTTGTCACGCTATGCAAGAAGAGCCTAAGCCTATAAGATATAATAAGATAGGTAATTATGACTGTTATGCAAACTAAAACCTAATACTTTACGCAGCAAATCCATCAAAGGTTTTGCTTCCAAGGTATTTGAATAAATGCAATCATAAAATCTTTGCAAACTATTGTAAATACTGTTCTCAACTTAATCTGTGTGGAAAGCATCTGGGATAACATCGATACAGACACTAGAATTATACAGATCAGAACTTGAGCTTTTATCTAATTTAACAAATCAGAGGCAGTCACCCAACTACTTTCAGCAAACATCATTCATGCCAAGGAAAGAAATTTCCAGGACATCACAGCTTTCTTCTAACAAGGAGTTTTAATGATTAACATTAGAATTTTGTTTTGTTTTTTAAAGCCATTTAATTTTATGTCCTTCCAAATGTTGTATTCACTAAGTTATTAACATTATACAGTATTACCAGGTTCATATAATTTAATGACTTTGAAAATAATACTGTTTCAAATCATAATAGTCTCTAGACTGAATACAATTTGATTGTCCAAAGACTATAATATATTACATAACCAATTAAGGTTTGGCAACATGGGCTTCTATTAAATGCTTTGTAAATATATAGCATGTTTATTGCAATGCAAAATCATCACATTAAATGATGATATTAAAATCATCTTTGTGTAATTCCTTTATCCAATACAAATGTACTCAATTAATATCTCTGAATTATGCTAGGCTCTATGGAGAACATAAAACAAAAGTTCAAGAGTAAATCCTACATTCCTTTACATATAAATAATTATAATGAAAATCACTTTGTAATAAATGCTACTGACATGGCACATATGGTCATATGTTCACAAGGAAAGGAATTACTGTTGGCTGTAATAATCAGATAAAGCTTGGAGGAGGGAGAGTGGGTGCAGCAAAGTGGGGCCTTTCAGGAAGAGCACAACTTCAGTCAAGGTAATGAGGAAGAGGATGACCGAGGCAAAAGGACAGTGTGATTAAAGATCCAGGCATGGGACAGCAACAGCATGCAGAGGACACCAAGAACAATCTCTTTGTCTGGCAGAAGGCACATTCTGGATGTATGTGAGATGACATCTGAAAAGCTGGGGCCAATCTTTGAAGGATCTTTCCCACCAAGTCATGAAGTATGAACTTAATTTATTAAATCACAGAAAAAACTAAAGATTTTGGAGAGGAAAGGATGTAATTTTAAAAATATTTTACAAAAATGCCATTTTTAAAAAAATGGCAAAGTATGTAGCTCAGGTCAGAACAGACAGGTTTAAGAGGCTCTCCTAAGGGTTCATGTATGTAAACCAGGTAGCATTAGAAACAAAAAAGCAGATATACAGAGAAACATGAGAAAGCATTAAGATTGGGTGACTGAAATCAAGTTCAAAGAAAGAAACAAGAAAGACTAAGATCTGTAACTTAGGAGACAAGAAGAAGAAAAAACTAGAAGAGTTACTTAGGGGTGGAAGATGGATAGCTCTGTCTGAACTACGGCAGATGATATGCAGTATGTTTTTAGATTTTGCCACAAAAACAGCTGGAGTTTGAGAGAAAAAATGTAAGTACTGTATCTTTTGATTTGCCACATTTTCTAACCTACTTATAGCGTGGTCTAAATTGTGAATGCACTTCAGTAAACTAGTATATAAATAAATTATTTAGTATGATGGCAATCAAGGAACATAATTTATAATATTTATATATACATACAAATTAAAATGTATATAATAAGTTATATACTCACAGATTTTATAGCAGTTACTTTGTTTCTTAGACTTTCAGTGAGTCTCTCGTTTTCTTCTTCACAGGCGTTATACCCACTATTGGCATAGCCATAGTTCCCATAGTTGCCAGGAGGTGCTCCTTCACCTGCAAGGATTGGAGTCACATGTGTAGGGCGGGAAAAATGGAATCACTTTCGAAAACTTAACAGCTGGGAAAGAACCGAAAAAGACCCCTGGAGGGCGTCGCAGACCATGTATGTCTATAATATATATTCTCCAAATGAATTTTAAAAACTCATGACCAGAGATCAAACAGTCCTTTCCATTACCCTCTCTTAAACAGAGATACTTAGTTCCCTTCAATATACATTTGTTGATTGCTTACTGATTGCCCAGACACTAAAATATGAACTGATAAACAAGGATATTTGAGATAACATTTTAATAAAAGACGTAAAAGTAGTAGCATCAACTACTCATTGAAGAATTTGGGCTATGAAGAAAAAGGGAGAAAGGTAACAGTGGGAGGGAAGTTAAGGCAGACAGTCTTTTATCAGTACCTCTGTCTCTTACAGAGCTAAATGGAGAAAAGCCAAGGAGTGAGGGGATAAGCTGAAGCCCTAGGAGATAGACTAAGTTCTAGAAAACACCAGCTAAGAGTTCTGAGTTCCATTCATTCTTCAATAAATATTTTAGGAACTGCCATATGTCAAATCCATTGTTCTTTCCAGATGCTACTTTTATAGGTCTTACCTTCTGGTGGATGGCACTGAGAATATAGTCCCCATCACCCTGTCTAATAAGGAATTTGATATTCATTAGGCAAACAACAGGTGCAGTGAGTCTTAGACAGTGAATACATATATAGGTGTGCTTGGGAATGAAAGGAAAACATTGTTGAGGGTGTTCTTCACCTACCCACATTTTAAAAAACTGATGCTATGAATTTTCTCAGTAAAAGAAAAAAACAGTTTACCTGCTAAAAAATGGTGATCATTTGAAATGAACAGTAAGGAGAATCATGAAGAAAACTGACCAGGATTGCTTAGGATTACTAGGAGGATAAAAATCAAACCTGGCTGTGGCAACATACTGAATTGGCTTTAATCCTCCTAGACGTGATCTTTCTACAGAAGGACTCATTGCCTGAGAACTTGAGAAGCCAAACTAGTAGACTGACCTAGAACTGGAGTTTATAGTATTTGGGCTGACAAACAAACTCCCCAAATTTGAGATTGCTTGACAAAAGAATGGGTGAAGTTATAAACCATGGGGACTAGATTGGCCAGGAATTGAAGTAGAATTACTAGAGACCTGACAAGGTAGGAGAAATGGATGATCTTAAAACGACAGGCTTCCGTAAGCTCAAAGAGCAGCTGGAGAAGCAGTGACAGTAAGAGCTAGAAGGACAGGGGGCAGCAGTCAGTGCTAGTGGCTGAAGGATGACACACCTTGAATAGGAAGCTCTTTCATGGGACAACACAAATTTCATTTTCTAAGAAGGAAAACTTTTGAATTCTTACAACACTGTATATAACACTAATATTGCTCTCTAGACTACTACAAGGACAGAAACTAAGTTTGTTTCACTCATCACTATCTATTCCCCATAAACACATTCAGACACGCATGTGTGCATGTGTACACGCCCATACACACACACAGAGAAACACTGAATGAATACTTGTAAAAGATATGATTAAAGAACAGAATTTGCCTTCACTGTTACGCAGTTTTGTCAAGAATGAAATTATACGATTCTCTGAAGGAAGAGAGTGTCTCATGCTTCTATCGCCCTGGTACCTAATGAGCACTTTATATACATAAGATACCTACCCATTCTCCACCACCACAAAAACTGCAACAAAATGTTGAGCACGTATATTCCAGACAAAGGAGAGCGTTTCATAACCCAAATTTTCCCTCAATTGCTGACCTGCCATCCCTCAAGTTCTCCAAACGTGTTACTTTGAATTAAGAACTGGGCATATTTTCCCCGCTTAACAATCAAAATCATCACTTAAAAAATGAATTCTTACTTAACTTAATTGCTGTGTGCAAACTCTACATTAATAGGTTAAAATCATTAAAGAAAATGACAATGTGACTAAGGATTTTGGTATATAACATTTGCCCAATAAATAATTACTGACTGGTTGAACTTAATCACTGGACAACTTCAAGAAATTCCTCCTAAAATAATGGCTATTTGTTTTATTTCCCTTATTCCCTTTTGCCTATGTTAATTTTAATTTTAGAGTGAAATTCTCTTTTTATTTATTTCCCAATAATCTTTCAATATACATTTCTAAGATCAAATCTTAGAAACTATCAAACTACAAACTATCACCCACTCCCAATAGAAAAAAATTAAATTCTAGTTTCTCTTCCAGAGTTATCCATTACTTTTAGTGTGAATTACTGCTATGAAAAGTTATAGGAAAGCTAGTGAGTGCCAAAGATCATCCTCTGTCTTTGTCAAATTTAGATAAGTGCTACTTCTTTTGGATAGGTTCTATCAATAACTGGACCAAATCATTTATGAACTCCTGTGAACTGTGGCAGCTTCTGTATGAGAATACCTATCAGATTCACTATTATCCAAAATTTAAAATTCCACACTGATATGTTTTTTAAAAGCTTTTGTTACTTTACACTAATAGAATCACCTCTCTTCTCAACTATATGGGAACTTTAAAAAGAAAAGGGGAGAGGATGAGAGCTTAATCCTAGAGATTCTAATTTAACTGAAAATTTAGTTGAAAATCTTCCTGGGTAATTCTAACGTACAGTTACGGCTGAAACCACCAATTCTCAAGTCCCCTTTCTATCATTTAACAAGGGATGCTGTTGCACAAAAATATCTGAATGAGCCAATGGCCTATTGATGAACTGTAAACTCCTTGGTCTGGCAGGCAAAGATCTCCAGAATGTGGTCCCATGTTCCCTATTTTAATCTAATTGGCTTAATCATTATCATCTCTTGAGCAACCATTTGTAACTCAAGTTATATAGTTATTCTGTCATCTTCCTACCTGAATCTTACTTCTCCCACCCTCCATTATTCAAAGTTAGTTCAAATTCCTATGTTTCCACAAAGTACATGGAAACCCCTCTCTGAAATTGGAGACATTCACTGTCTGTAGAACTTATCTGGCATATGGATGTAAAGCTACCTCCTTCTGTAACAACTTACCTTTGTACATATTCCTACTCTCCAGCTACATTAGAAGCTTTAGGGAGCACAAAAGGGGTGACAAATGATTACAGAGCTAGAACTTACTCATTACAATAAATGTTTGTTGTCATTAATGATGAAAAATATTTATGCATACAAAAATAATTTGTTCAAAATTAGTTCTTCTTTTCAGTTTTCTATGATGCAAATATTCATAAAACATTTCAAAAACTTTCTCCAAAAATAAAAAAGATGTGAACACAAAAAGGGAACTATTGCAGGGGTGGGGGTGAGGGGTGGAACCAGTGAGAAGGGGACAAGAAAGGGTGATAGGTGAATATAATCAAAATATATTCTAAGCATGAATGAAAATGCTGTAATGAAACCCACTATGTTGTACAATTCAAAACTGTTTCTCACATTATGATTTATTAATGTATAAGTGTACTGGCAAGTTTCACAACTGTACAAGACATTTTTGAAAGAGTATTTTTTTCCTTTTTCCATCTAACGATAACTAAGAATGGTAATAGCTTTTTTTGAATGTTTCATATATTTTCTCAAATACACTGCACTGATGTGTTTCCTTTAAAAAAAATGCTCTCTTAATACACAGCTTCAAAACAAGAAAATGCTATTATAATAGCTATGTGTTATTAAAGGGCCCATTAAATCTAACTTATTCCTGCTGTCTAATGTACCGGCTTCCTAACCCATACAGTTACGAAACCATACCACCTTTTATTGCCTTAACAGTGGAACAAGGTCCAGGTAAGAATCGTCTAGGTAAAACTGCCTTTGACCCCCACCTTACACATCAGGGCCTTTAACAATAGTGACAAGTACATTTATCTTTGTAACTCACTGTTGCCAGACTAACACAATCGTTATTAGTGTGCTTAGCACGCAACACCCACTCTTCAAAGTTCACTTGAACAGAAACCAAGAGAAAGGCAAAGCCGGCAGGGCTTGCAGTTTCCATAACCACGGCTCGGACAAGAACTATTAAAACTCTACACGTTGGTACCGGTACCGACCCCACCCCCACTTCTCCACTACTCTCCCTAACCTACCACCTAAACTTCGACCTGAATCAAACTTAAAAGAAACCGCCAGGGCCTGGAGCCAAAGATATGTTTTCATTTGGCACCATCTCCAAAAATCCCCAGCAGACATCTCCCTTTGTGGCCCCAACGCCAGTGACAGGAGACCCTTTCGATTTTCTCCCTCGCCCCTGCGCCCGGCATGGCGGGTTCTAAAGTTCCCATCTTCGAACCTCAGCCTCTTCTTACCCAGGCCTGCACGCCTCATCCTGCCCGAGGAGGGAGGGGAGAGGCGAGAGAAGGAGGAATGGGTAGGAAAGAGCCAGGGGTCACCCCGACCTCGTCTTCAGTCCCAGGGCCCCGCAGAATACCAACTTCTTGCCCCAAAGCGCCACGACATCAGTAGAGTCCAAACACCGCGCCGGCTGATGGCGTCACGCAGAAGCACATTGGCGCCCTCAGAGGCGAGTTGAATGGCATTCTGGGAAATGTAGTTTGCAGTAGAGGAAGGGCGCGTGGCGGGGGGCGTGGCCTGAGACCAGCTCCTAAGCAGTGGAGGCTTCCGGAAGAGCGGCTTGTGGGGACTGGCTCCTAGGGCAGGCGTCTGACCCTGCATCTGAGCTGCTGTCCTCACTGTCACTAGGGCATCGATGTCCGATGCTGGACCCTAAGCTTAACCCAGTAGATCTGCCGCCCCGGGCTACGAGGGTGGTTGGCTTATTTTTACTGAATCAGTTCAGTATTCCTTTCCACCCCGAGTCAGATCAGGGAAAGTCAGAGAAGCTTAGTCCAAGTTTCTCGTTTTACGAATAAAATTGTTAGTGACCCCTAGCAGAGAGGGAAGAGGAGCCCATCGGTGCCTGGTGGCGCTCAGGGGCAGGAAGAGCAGGCCCCTGCAGCGGGACTTGGCAGGTCACAGCAGCCATGAGGCCTGAAGTCACCTGGGTCCCCTGGTGATGCATTTGTGGCATTGTGGAAGGGACTATGATGTTGGTGCTAACTGGATGGATGGACGGTCCCTGCACCCCCTCCCGCTCGGACATCTTGTAGCTTCCACAAAGGATTCGAAATACTGCAAGCACGTGCCCCTGTCAATGCAGGGGTTAAAGCGGTGGGCTGGGGCTGGTATAGAAGCTAGTCCAAGAATTTAATTTGATCTCACAGAATTATTTGTTGTCAGAATACAATGAAATAATGGTTTTTGAAAAGTCTGTTATACAGTAGATGTTCACAACCCATGTGATGTGTTATGGTTTTGTTGTTGCTGCCTCAGGACAGTAGGATACATTCTAGAGCTTCGAAAACCTACTCTGAATATTTAGTGTTTCCCCACAGTCAGCTTCCCATATAAACGTTAATAATAGCTTGCGTCTCTGCTTTAAGGATGTGTTTGTAAAATATGCACGAAACCAATTAAAATTTTTTTTTCATTTATTCACATGTGCATACATTGTTTGGATCATTTCGCCACCCTGCCCCCTCCCTCACCCTTCCACCCCTTCCCCCCTCAGTTCCAAAATTATCACTAATTTTATTGAAGAGAAGACATAGCATAATAAGGAAGACAAAATGTTTTTGCTAGTTGAGTTAAGGATAGCTATACAGAAATATTCCTAGCATTGCTTTCATGTACTCATGGGTTACGACCCATGTTAATTCAACTCTAACTGATCTTTACATTGGTTCCTGATCCCCTGCTAGTGATAACCTGTCGATTTAAGGTTTCTGTATTAGTTGCTCCAGAGTGGGGACATCAAACGCTTTCATGTTTTGGGTTTTCTACCTATTCCTATATCTTCCGTGTGTGCTCTCCCTTTGTCATGTGATCCAAGTCCAACCACATTGCTGCATTTGCCCTAGATCTAAAGTCTGCATATGAGGGAGAACATACGATATTTGGTCTTCTGAGCCTGGCTGACCTTGCTCAGAATGATGTTCTCCAGTTCCATCCATTTACCTGCAAATGATAAGGTTTCATTCTTCTTCATGGCTGAGTAAAATTCCATTGTATACAAGTATCACATTTTCTTGATCCATTCATCAGTAGTGGGGCATCTTGGTTGTTTCCATAACTTGGCTATTGTGAATAGCGTTGCAATTCACATGGGTGTGCAGGTGCCTCTGGAGTAACCTGTGTTGCATTCCTTTGGGTATAGCCCCAGGAGTGGGATTGTTGGATCATATGGTAGGTCTATGGTTAGATTTTTAAGAAGTCTCCAAATTTTTTCCCAGACTGGTTGCACCAGCTTGCATTCCCACCAGCAGTGTATGAGGGTTCCTTTTTCCCCACATCTTTGCCAACACCTGTTGTTAGATGGTGTTTTTGATGATGGCTATTCTAACAGGGATGAGGTGGAATCTTAGTGTGGTTTTGATTTGTATTTCCTTTATGGCCAGAGGTGGTGAATATTTATTCATGTGTTTTTTGGCCATTTGAATATATTCTTTTGAAAAAGTTCTATTTAAGCCAAGATGCCCCACCACTGATGAATGGATTAAGAAAATGTGGTATTTATACACAATGGAATTTTATGCAGCCATGAAGAAGAATGAAATGTTATCATTTGCTAGTAAATGGATGGAATTGGAGAACATCATTCTGAGTGAGGTTAGCCTGGCTCAAAAGACCAAAAATCGTATGTTCTCCCTCATATGTGGACATTAGATCAAGGGTAAACACAACAAGGGGATTGGACTTTGATCACATGATAAAAGCGAGAGCACACAAGGGAGGGGTGAGGATAGGTGAGACACCTAAAAAATTAGCTAGCATTTGTTGCCCTTAACGCAGAGAAACTAAAGCAGATACCTTAAAAGCAACTGAGGCCAATAGGAAAAGGGGAACAGTTACTAGAGAAAAGGTTAGATCAAAAAGAATTAACCTAGAAGGTAACACCCACGCACAGGAAATCAATGTGAGTCAATGCCCTGTATAGCTATCCTTATCTCAACCAGCAAAAACCCTTGTTCCTTCCTATTATTGCTTATACTCTCTCTTCAACAAAATTAGAGGTAAGGGCAAAATAGTTTCTGCTGGGTATTGAGGGGGTGGGGGGAGAGGGAGGGGGCGGAGTAGGTGGTAAGGGACGGGGTGGGGGCAGTGGGGAGAAATGACCCAAGCCTTGTATGCACATATGAATAGTAAAACAATAAAAAAGAAAGAAATGTAAATAAAACTATACTGTGATTCCATCTCACCCCAGTAATAATGGCTATTGTCAAGAAAACGAAAATTACAAATGATGTGAAGATGCAAGTGGATAGGGAGCATCTACATTGTTGGTGGAAATGTAAATTAGTGTAGTAACTGTGGAAATCAATAGGGAGGTGAAAAAAAAAAAAGAAAAAGTTCTGTTTAGTTCAGTTGCCCATTTCTTAATTGGTTTGTTGATTTTAGGAGAGTTTAGTTTCTTAAGTTCCCTGTATATTCTGGTTATCAGTCCTTTGTCTGATGTATAGCTGGCAAATATTTTCTCCCACTCTGTGGGTGGGCTCTTCAGTTTAGAGACCATTTCTTTTGTTGTGCAGAAGGTTTTTAATTTTATGAAGTCCCCTTTCTCTTAGTTGCTGGGCTGCTGGGGTTCTATTGAGGAAGTCTTTGCCTATACCTATTTGTTCCAGAGTGTTTCCTGCTCCTTCCTGTAGTAACTTCAGAGTTTCGGGCCTGATATTTAGGTCCTTGATCCATTTTGAGTTGATACTAGTACAGGGTGATAGACATGGATCTAGTTTCAGTTTCTTGCAGAAGGGTAACCACTTTTCCCAGCAACATTTGTTGAAGAGGCTGCCTTTTCTCCATCGTATATTTTTGGAACCTTTGTCAAAAATGAGGTGGGTATAGTTGTATGGATTCATATCCGGGTCCCCTATTCTGTTCCACTGGTCTTTTATGTCTATTTTTGTGCCAGTACCATGCTGGGTTTTTTGCTACTGCTTTGTAATATAGTTTGAAGTTGGGTATTGTGATACCTCCAGCATTGCTCTTTTTGCTGAATATTGCCTTGGCTATTCGTGGCCTCCTGTGTTTCCAAATGAACTTTAGGGTAGATTTTTCAATCTCTGTGATGAATATCATTGGGATTTTGATAGGAATTGCATTAAACATATGGATTGCTTTCGGTAGTTTAGTCATTTTTACTATGTTGATTTTACTGATCCATGAGTATGGGAGGTCTAAGAGCATCTGACTTATATGTGAAATCCACTAAAATCATACAATTCATATTTGTCACTCATCTATGAATATGGATTTCATTCTTACCAGAACAGTGGAAACATTGCACAAAAGAAACTCAGCTGTTTTTATTCCACATATTCCACTAACACTCTACCTTTGGCTTACCTATAACACGGGCTGAAAGAAAAACAAATATGGGTTATTTTATCTTTTCCTCTGTTTCTAGGCCATCATTTTCAGTGCAACTGGTTAATAAGCTAATACAAGGATGTAAGATAAGTAAGGAAGAATAGAACAGTGTTCATCAGTCACTTCCTTCTTCCTTCAGAAGTTTCAAATCAAGCAGAATGTGTGGCCTTTAGGGGCTATTGTAGCCAGACTAGGCATGAAGTTAACCAACTTATTTCATTCATTGTGGTGTGGGGCCAATGGAATTCTGTGTTAATGGGGCACTGAAAACATTATGTTTCAAATGGGTGGCAATGAACAATGAAAACATATATTATCTGGGTGCCAGTGACTCATGTCTATAGAAGGTTGAGATTGAGAAAATCACGGCTCCTGGCCAGCCTAGGCAAAAAGTATCAGAGACCCTGTCTCAACAGAAAGAGCTGGGCATTGGCTAGCACCTGTCATCCCAGCTACTATGGGAAGCATAAATAGGAGGATCAAGGTCAAGAATAGCCTGGACAAAAAAATTGAGACCTTTTATCAAAAATAACCAGAGCAAAAAGGACTGGAGTTTATAGTTCAAGTGATAGAGTGCTTGCCTCTCAAACATGAAGACCTGAGTTCAAACCCAAGTATTGCCAAACAACGACAACAACAACCCTCCTCATGTTATCCATATGTCCTCTGCACATGTGCATGCTATATTGTTCCATCAGATTTCATTTACAGAGCCCATGGGCAAAGATTAAGAATTTCAAAATAGTGACTGCAGAACACTAAGGGTAGAACTCTGAGTTCTGTGCCTATGTACAAGTTGCACATTCATGAATCAGCCTTGGTCTTCAGAGAGAAGATTTCCAAAGAAATGCTACTAATATTGGCAGAGAAAAAGAAAGGAAATGAGAAAATATAAAAGAGAGATATAGTGTAGTCACACAAAGAGGTTGAGTGAAGTAGGATATTTAAACTGCACAGTGAAATTCACAGGATGAAAGTAGAACACTATATACATGTGATGTCCTGAGGGGAAGGAAGAAGGAAGAGAAGAGTTGTAAGTTGTC